TCTGAACAACATTAAAAACATAGTTGATGGGGTCTAACATCTATCTGATGGGCAACTTCAATGCCAAAGTAGAAAAGAAGCAGGCTGGACACCAGGCAGTAGAAAATCATTGCATCGGTACTAGAAATGAAAGAGAGAAGCTGTTAGTAGAATTCGCAGAACGTAATAATTCATGGATCTTGAATACCTTTTACCGAAAACGAGGGAACCGTAAGTAGATATGGAGGAGTCGTAATCGCGAAAGTAAGAACAAAATAGGCCTCATATTGAGTGCACACCCTGGCATCGTGCAGAATGTGGAAGTGCTTGGCAAGGTAAGATGCAGTGACCATTGAATGATTCGGTCTCGAATTCGCCTAGACTTATAGAAGGAACGATAGAAACAGATACGCAACAAGCCAATAAATGAGCTAGCACTGAAAGGGAAAGTACAGAAATTCAGAGTCTCGCTTCAGAACAAGTACTCAACTCTTATCGAGGAAACCAGCCTAAGCTTTGACGCAATGAATGATAATCTGACGAGTATCACTACGGAGTGTACAGTGGAAGTTGGAGGTACAGTACTTAGACAAGACATTGGCAAGCAGTCCCAGGAGATGAAGAAGCTCATTAAAAAGGGTCAAAGCATGAAAGCCGGAAATACAACAGACAAAATGAAATTGGCAGAGCTTTTGAAGTTGATTAACAAGCGTAAGGTATCCGATGTAAGAACGTATAACATGGAGAAAATTGAACACGCTCTGAAGAACGGATGAAGCGTCAAAGCAGTGAAGAGAGAACTTGGAATAGGCAAAAACCAGATGTATGCACTAAGGGACAAGGAAGGCAAAGTAACTTCCAATATGAATAGAATAGTTAAAATGGTGGAGGAGTTTTAGAGATATGTACAGTAGCCGGGACAACCACGACCGTAACACAAAAACTTGCAGTAACCCAGACGACATCCTACCAGTAACGATAGAAGAAGTCACAAAAGCCTTGGGTGGAATGCAAAGAGGCAAAGCTGCTGGTGAGGATCAGATAGCATCAGATCTGCTAAAAGACGGAGGACAGATTGTGTTAGAAAAACTAGTCATTTTATTTACGAAGTGTCTTCTGATGGGAAGAGTACCAGAATCTTGGAAGAATGCTAACATCATCTTAATACAGAGGAAAGAAGATGACAAGGACTTGAAGAATTACAGGCCTATCAGCTTGCTCTCTGTTGTATACAAGCTATTTACAAAGGTAATTGCTAACAGGTAATTGCAAAGATAATTGCTGCTGTATTTCGGAGCAAAAACCTCCGTCAGGCTTTACAGCCTTTTGCTTTTGCTTCATTTTTTCCTATGTACAGGAAAAAGAAATAAATCCAAATCTCAATCTCAGAATTAAGACAAAATCAGAATTCAATCAACCAAATGAACAAGCAAGATTTCGTACAGGCTACTCAACAATCGACAACATTTATACTATTAATCAGTAATAGAGAAATACAGCCAACCAATATACATAGCTTTCATAGATTACGAGAAGGCGTGTGATTCAGTAGAAATATCAACAGTCATGTGGCCACTGCGAAATCAGGGCGTCAACGAAGCATATATAAACATCCTAGAAGAAATCTACAGGGGTCAACTGCCACCATAGTGCTCCATAAAGAAAGCGACAGAATACCAATCAAGAAGGGTGTAAGGTAGGGGAATACAATCTCCCTACTGCTATTTACCGTGTGCTTACAGGAGGTTTTCAGAAGCCTAGAATGGGAACAGTTAGGGATAAGAGTTAATGGAGAGTACCTCAGTAACCTGCGCTTCGCCGATGGCATTGCATTGCTGAGTAACTCAGGGGACTAATTGCAACTCATGATTACGGAGTTAGACAAGGAGAGCATAAAGGTGGGTGTTAAAATTTATCTGCAGAAAACGGAAGTAATGTACAACGACTTCGGAAAAGAGCAGCGCTTCGAAATAGGTAATAGTGCACTTCAAGTTGTAGAAGACTATGCCTACTTAGGGCAGGTAATAACCGCAGAGCCGAACCACGAGATTGAAGTAACTAGAAGAATAAGAATGGGGTGGAGCACATTTGGCAAGCACTCTCAAATTATGACAGGTAGATTGCCACTGTCCCTCAAGAGGAAGGTATATAACACCTGCATTTTGCCGGTATTAGCTATGGAACAGAAAAATGGAGACTTACAAAGAGGGTTCAGTTTAAATTGAGGACGACGCAGCGAGCAATGAAAAGAGAAATGATCGGTGTAACCTTAAGAGACAAGAAGAGAGCAGAGTGGATCAGGGAACAAACCGGGATTAAGGATATTATAGTTGCAATCGAGAAGAGGAAATGGACATGGGCCGGGCATGTGGCGCATTGGCACGATAACGGCTGGTCATTAAAAGTAACTGCCTGGATTCCCAGAGGAGGCAAGCGGGTAAGGGGGAGACAGAAAGTTGGATGGGCAGATGCATGAGACTAAGATGTTTGCAGGCATGAAGTAGCAGCAGCAAGCACAGAACCAAGTTGACTGGCGGAACATGGGAGAGGTCTTTGTCCTGCATTGAATGTAGTCAGGATGATGATGATGATTATGATGATAATGAACATCCAAAAACCACGATATGACTACGAGATACGCCGTAGTGGGGTGCTCCGGAAATTTTATCACTTTGCTTCTTTAACATGCACCTAAATCAAGGTGGACAGGTCTCAAGCATTTTCGCCTGCATCGAAAATACGACCGGGATTCGATCCCGCAACCTGCGGGCCCGCAATAGAGCACCGTAACCACTGGACCACCCTGGCAGGTAGTAAAAAACCGGTTTTGGTAAAATCAGTTTGCGCTACTTTTCGCCCAGCTGTAAGGAAGCAAGTTCAACTGTATGAGACATATTCCTGAAAATCACTTTGACGGCATGCAGAGCGATTCCGTTCCCTCCCGTTGCTTACTCCTTGCTTTTCAGTGGCACCTTTCACTTGCAGACGTGGTCAGCGGATACGAAAGGTGTAAACAACAATGCAACAATCCAAATTTACATGTGGCAATTCTAGCAAATTTTGAGTAACACATGGGACATATTATGTGACGTGCAATGCGCAGGATAATCTTTTTGTCAATTGATAAAGATAACAGTATTCCGCTATGTACTGTGTCTGTGACGTGAGACACTGCTTGCACAAAGTTTCTTTCATTTCTGGTAAAAAATTATGGTCACTATGTATATTGCTCTAATTTTACGTGATAACACGCCCACCCACATTTCTCTATTCTGTGCATTTCTTGTTGCGAGTTATGTCGCTAGCTGCATAAATTTCTTCGTGTGCACTTCTAGCCATGTCAATGTAAAGGGACGAACAGATGAAGCGAATCAATATATATAATTTGTCGTATATTTTTTTCAGCTTTATGTTCCTTATTTTTGTGCTGTTTGCCACAGTGCTGAAGAATAAAGCTTGTGCTCACTACAGCTGCCCACACTGCATTTTTCATTATGCTGCTTTAGATTTATGACCACCATCTTTTTATTCATTAGCTTAAGTTTTTAAGCTTAAGATGAGTATTAAGCTTAAGATGAGTATTTTAGTAGGCCTTTCTAAGGCTGTGATTAGCCTGCACATTTGCCCCGCCGCGGTGGTCTAGTGGCTAAGGTACTCGGCTGCTGACCCGCAGGGCGCGGGTTTGAATCCCGGCTGCGGCGACTGCATTTCCGATGGAGGCGGAATTGTTGTAGGCCCGTGTGCTCAGATTTGAGTGCACGTTAAAGAACCCCAGGTGGTCAAAATTTCCGGGGCCCTCCACTACGGCGTCTCTCATAATCATATGGTGGTTTTGGGACGTTAAACCCCACATATCAATTAGCCTGCACATTTGCCTGTGTTGCACCTTTGTCACTAGGCAACACTTCCAAGTGCCTTAGACGTTAGGGCGTAATAAATATACGTGTAAATATATTGCACACTCACATACAAGCTGAGTTAGGTGCATAAATCGAATATTCTGTCGCGCACGTGGGTGTGTGTGTGCATGCATGGGAGTGTGCATGTTTAGATATTAGCAGAACGTGCGAAGGTTAAAGAGAAATATTATTCTTTGGCTTATTATATCTTGGCACACTTCGAAGAGTCACACTGTAACATGCTTGAACGTGGCCTATCAGACTTTAGAACTGTGTCTGGCTATTTCCATTAAAACTAACCTCTCCCCATTGAAAATTATTGTAGTGATCGACTCTGGCAAGATCTGTTCCGGCGGGTACAAGTATGACCACCGCTTGAGCAATAATCTCGTCTCCGAGCCAACTTGAAACACTTGCGGCCGAGATTCCTGCCCAAAATCTCACAAAATGATAAGGCTTGAGAAACACCGCGACATAGTTTGGGGGCGAAGCTCCTCAAGGAGCTTCGCCCCTAGAACTTTGATTCTAAGAGCGTGGTTTTGATAAGCTGGCTATCGGCAAGCATCAGCGCTATCAACGGGAAAGAGGTTGTGCGGTAAGAGCATTTTTCCCTGGAGAAGCCGTACATCCTTTCTCCCACCAGGGTTTTGCAGTGTCGTGATGTCAAGTTCAAAAGCGTTAGTTTTCAACCTTCGTATTGTCACGCGGTCGTGAGTTTGACAAAGGCAGCAGCCGCTGTTTTCATGAGTGAACCTTATTTGAATGAACCTGTGCCCGGAAAACAAAACTTCACTCTACAAGCAATACAAGCTGTTGACTGATAGCTGTAAACCAGAGCGTCTGACATCGATAATTTGCTAAGCAGCAAAGTGCGTCAGCATTTATACATGTGCCATCGAAGATTCCCGCGTTATCTTTAAAGGCTGCGCAAGTTCCAGAACAAACTCTAATGTACGCCTTGTGCGCGTAATCTTATAGAAAGGTTCTAAGATTATCTAGATTGTTCCCATTCAATCGGGTGCAGATCGGGCAAGGCAGCGTTACATGCGTAATGGTGCGGTTGCCAAAATAGAAATTGCGTGCGGCATTACAATTACAAGTATTTGCTATTGCAGCCATCGCTTCACCGGTGAAACTAACTTTATTTTATTTTTTCAGTTTACATGGTTTGTTGCTGTTAAAAGATATATAGAGTCGCATAATGAGGTATACACACAAACACCACCTTAACAGGATCCATGCATGAACCGAAATACGATGTCACTGAACTAACTTGATATGGACGCGGTTGCGCCTTTTGTGTAGCTCACCCGTGTTGCTCAGATGATGATAAAACTCGGCTAAATTTGGCATTCCACACACAAATTGCCGGGCAGGAACAGCTTGGCGAAGCAGGTCAGATTGGCGCAGCACTTCTACACCAGAAATAAAAAAAAATGTGAGCAAGGAGGCGGATGCCCAGCTTAAAATTTTGAGAGATCCGCCACATATGACAACACTTGCACTCAGTCTTACACCAGAAATCACTAACTTAGAAGATCTTTCAATGCGACAAGAATGGCGTGCACTGGCAAGAATGACGTAAAAGATGTAAAAAGAAAGAAGAGAATAACAGTGATGTCTGCGACAGATTAATGTCATGTGAATGAGCCTTCCTTGAAGTGATGTAGGCGATGACAAGAAAGCCTTGTCGATGGCACTGAATACCTTGGCACTGCAATTGGTAGCACACGTCACAAACGCCGTTGCATTCAAAGAAAAACGCAAGTTGCGCCAATCTTTGCCCGGTATACCTTATGGTCCTATTAGGTGGGGTGCACGCCAGTACATGCTTGTGAGCAGGCTTCATAAGTGTAAGTGGTAGCCAGAAGCAGTTTGACCCGATGTTATGATGGAAGAGATGTTATGATAGAAAAGATTAGGTTAACGAGGTGCACACTGTTAGCTGTCTCGCACTGAAAGAATGGGACATGACACGAAATGGTGCAGTGGCATAGCAAGGTGTATTTTCCGAATGGGGGAGGGGTAAGAATCCTCCAAAAAGCGTGCGTTTGTGTGTGTGCATGTATACACACACATGCAAGTAAAAAACTTCAAGGGGAAAAAGAAGTTGAATCCCCCAGCCACCATCTGGTCACCAGTCAAAAGTAGTTGCTTCCTCTTGCTACTGCTCATGCTGGCATTTGAAGAGCAGACAGTCGGTGGACCCATGTGTAGAAGAGTTCTCGAGTGTTGCATAAAAGAATTCCTCGCTGATATCTGCAGGCTCAACTGTTCCTCATTTTCGTATGGAAGCACTTACGTTTCTTTACAGCCTATAATGTTCATGCAGGAGTTCATTGAACGTACGACCTCAGTCTTTTACAATACAGTCAATCAAAACAAGCCGACAGCATATTGTTGAATGAAATACTGCTACTAGCCGTACGGGAATGAACAACTCTACCGTCGAAAAAAAAAAAGAGATACAGGCGTTTAGAAATCATACATCTTTCAGAAAGAACTGCACCCATTAAAAAGATGTACAGATGCCTTGATTAATGTCATTGCACACTGTAGGTAAACGGCTCGCACTTTAGACACAAGGATATTGCCTAAAGGCTTCAGCTGGGAGCAACCGCCCCAGCAAAAGTAAGTAAACAGTACAGGACACTATACAAAAAGCATTCATTGCGCTTAGTTGTCCACAACAAATACGCAATGAAGTACCTTAGACACTGTCCAGAAAAGGTATTCCCAGTTCCCCAAGCACGATGCAAAATGCTATGCGTTCACGAGGCCTGGCTGTTCTCTAGAATCCGCGGAGTTGTCAGAGTTTTTGCCGAACTGCACTTCAATCTCCTCCAGAGTCTTGCCGCGGGTCTCAGGAATAAATATTAGCACCAGAACAAAGCCCAGGGCCATGACAGTGCCGTAGAACCAGTAGATGCCGTCGTTGCCGAGCAGCCGCATCGTGCTGTGATATTCCCTAGCGATCAGGGCACCGCAGCCGAAGTTGAAGGCAGTCGACACGCCCGTCGCGAAGCCCTTGACGCGCAGTGGCAGCATCTCGCCCATCAGCATCCACGGCAGCGGTCCGAGGCCCACTGAGTAGCCGACCATGAAGCCGCAGAGAGCAAGCAGTGGAAGCCAGCCGTATGAAGCCAGGAACACCTGACCCTATTTGTAAGCAAATCAATCAATCAATCAATCAATCAATCAATCAATCAATCATCACTTCTAGATCATGTTGACAACTGTTGGTGTTTCGCGCCCAAAAATCACAATACAATTTTGATTTAAAAGTAAAACGAAGGAATATGCAGCAAAAGGCTACATGGCGAGATATTGGTTTCAGCTTGTTTCGAAACACACACATTTAGCAATGCTGGGCTACTTGAGAGGTGAAATCTGCATAGAGAAAAAAAAAAAGCGCCACTGCACCAACTTTGCATTGAGCCAAATGATTAAGCTTAACACGATCATGTGTCTGAGCGCGTGATAGGTCTTAACCCTGGCGCTTTGAAGCTGCATGGTCTTATACGCTAATGTATACGGCTGCAGCGAGATAGGCCGAACAACTGCCTGAAACAAGATGGAGGTGGGAGGAGGGGGAGGCGATACCCCCAAAAATTTTCAATTTTGCGTGTGTGTATCAAACGCACAAATACAAACGCATGCACAGAGACACATGAAGCGTAATTAAATATTCCTAAAGGGTGCATAATTTCTGGCTCGCCACTCATCACGAACTATACAGCATGAAATGTCTTCGGGCAGCACGCCTGTCCGCGGGGTCACATGTTGGACTATACGCTGCAAGGGTAATGGCTATTCAGATGGCTTCATCTTTACGCAGTGGTCCCTCCAAATTTACTGTCCTCATTTGTAGAAACACAGCAATATTAGTGCCAACATCCTGAGACGCACCAGATTAGGCAGAACGCACACAAAGCCAATACACAGCCGGTAAATAAAAAAAGAGATGGCCAATACTATAGTGATCTGCCATGGTCAAACTGTTCGCTCAGTGTAAGCGCTTGCAGTAGAATATTCCTCAGTGCAATAGTAGGAAATGATTATGTAAATAGTGTAAGGAAATAATATTTAAAGAGGGTTTATTAATGACGCCAGGTAGCAGGCTGACAGCCGGTACAGACAGAAACAGTCGAACAGGCCCGGCGTCAACGGCACGTGCACAGATATACATATGTAGCGTTCGCGCCTCGCCCCCAAAGACGGCCCGACTAGTGATTGCCTTGCTTTTTCACCACTACAATATAAGCTGTTATTACAGATACGCATATAACAGTTGGTGCTTGAATAAAAGTTCACACGTCTTGAGTTCTAATTTTCCTTAGACACGTGACGACCCAACAAGAACGACAAAAGCAAACACTTTAAAACATGGCAGTCGAACAAAGCGCCAATAAGGATTATGCACAAGCTATTAATGCTTTAATGGCACAGCCCACATCACGATGAAGAGAATAATACCTATCTGGTGAGGTCTATCGTCTATTGTTACTTTAAAGCAACGTATGAAATATGAGTAAATCAATATGGAAGGCTTTCATGAAGGTTATTTTTGCTTATATGGATACTAAACGAAAAACATTTACTTCTTTAAAATTACCAGAAGTGCTACTCTACCACATAAAATTCACTAATATCCTGATTATGAGAAGGAAAACGAATATAAATATCCTAACTTCACATTTTTGCGGGGATAGTTTGCGAGTAACGCGTTTACGTTAACGCAATGGGCATGGAAGGTGTGTTTATGAGGCATGAGCAAGAAAGCATCTAATAAAGCAGCTATAATCCTCCAGCTTGATCAGAAAACAATCCAATGGATTCAAGAGTTCCTCTGTAACCGGTCGCAATCGGTCAAACTTAACCACATAATTTCCAGAAAGTGCATGGTAAAATCCGGTGTCCCCCAGGGCTCCGTGCTCGGACCATTATTATTTTTGGTCTACATCAATGACATTGGATCTAATATTGTTTCTTCTCTACGCCTATTCGCAGATGATTGCGTTATATATAAGGAGATTACCGAACCGAATGACAGTAGCATTCTACAGTCAGATTTGTTAAAACTCGCAGAGTGGTGCAATTTGTGGCAGATGCACATCAACGCTGAAAAAACCAAACATATTAGATTTACTTCCGTAGCCAAACCCTCATCATTCGTCAGATACATAGTCAATAGCACCATAATTGAGACCGTTTCATCCACAAAATACCTCGGCATTTTCTTTAGTTCCGACCTAACCTGGAACAGTCACATTGAATACATCACCAGCAAATCATCAAAAAAACTCGGTCTTTTGAAACGCCGCCTCAGATGCGCAAACTTGAAAACTAAACTTCACGCATATCAAGCTCTGATCAGGCCTTCACTAGAGTATGCGTCAACCATCTGGCATCCACATACGGCAATGTTATCTGATATGCTAGAATCGGTACAAAATAAAGCAGCTCGGTTTATCACCTCCTGTCATTCTCGCCACCAAAGCGTAACATGTCTTAAGCGTTCTCTGAACCTTCCATTGCTTGCCACGCGCAGAAAGTTGTTCCGCCTATGTTTTTTCCATAGTTTATATCATAGTGACTCGTCATTTTCCCGATCATTCATTCACCCAGCTCCCTACGTTTCTGATCGCGTTGGTCATGCACATAAGGTCAATACAATATATTCACGCACTAAGAAATACCAATTTTCACCTCTGCTGTTATCCATTAACGAGTGGAACGCGCTGCCCTCAAACATCGTCGCTATTACAGAACCCTCCCTTTTCCAGTCTGCAGTACAAACTTACTTAGAAGTTGACAATAATTGTAACCACCATTGACATTTAATGTGTAACGCATGCTTAGAGAATGTTAATTGCTATTTCTTGAAATATGTTTCCTGTTATGGTGGGCTGCTTACTGTGTTTTTTGCTTATTGTGTTATTAGTAATGTTGCTTGGGCTATCGGTCTGTTTGATTACTAGTATTACTCCCTGACATGTTGTTTTACTGATGCTATAGTAACCTCTTGTATGTATCCCCCCTTATGTAATGCCCTCCGGGCTCTTAAGGTATTTAAATAAATAAATAAATAAATAAATAATCATGCTGTATTCTCTCAGAACACAATACTTATTTTAGAACAGGCAATACGTACCTGAGTGTCCTTGAAATGATATGAAATCCCAAGAAGGATGAGGCTGATCGAGGACACGAAGCAAGACATGAGCAGCAGTATTTTGCGACCCAAACGGTCAATGGCCAGCGTGGCCATGAAGCCGCTGGCCACTTGGACAACACCGACAATGATGGTGCAGTCGGTGGACTCTATGGTCGAGCCGGCAGACTCGAAGATGTCTTGCGTGTACAGTAGCATGATGCTGATGCCCGAGAACTGCTGGAGGAACATGCCCAGCAAGACGCACAGGAATGGCTTGTACACGTACGGAAGCTTGAATTCAGCCAGGGAAAACTTCTCGTCTGCCGTGCTCGCCGCTTGCAGGCTCTCAAATTCCTCGCGAGCCCTGTCCTCGCCCTCATAAAATTTCAGCGCCTGCATGTGCGAGACAGACAAACCCTCGAAATTAGAACGTGATTTTGTGGTAAAAAACTGCAGGCAGCCAGCGACTGAAATTTATCTGCCGGATATAATGATGATATATACGAGTTTTGTATGGCCCCAAGGGCCGTTTCACGACCAAAGAGTGCCAATTTACCAGACAAGATGCGTGAACAGTGATCATGATAAGTGGTTGTATAAGGGCCTTAAAATTCTATGCACTAAAATGGGTATGTTTACAAGTACTAAAATCCTGAGTGTGACATGAATTGTGTGCAGTGAGAAATAATGGAGAGTCATCTTGATAATAAAACTATCGGGATATAGTTTAAGCACGAATGCCGCGCTAACGTCCTTGCATCCAAGGACAGCGGGTGCAGGTGCTTTCTGTAATGCAGCTACAAATCTTGCAAGTGTAAGAAAACGTTAAGCATTTACATGAGACGAATCGAATACCACAGCCATCTTTTTCTCAGCCAATTGAACTAATACCCGCCCCATCCCAATGTCGTTCAGTACCCAATGTAGTTGTACTGCATTTGGGTTCGGAAGCATTGAGAGATTTCTGCACCTTATTTTACCTCAGGGATCGGCCCACTTTTGACCAGGCGCCGCTGACATCTCATTACGCCATTATGTGACATGACGAAGTCCCAACTTTTGCCGACCTGCGACGTCATCACGCAACGACGTCTCCTTTTGTTGACATTATATTATAGGCATTTTTAGCTAACCATATTTTGCTTCCCGTTCCGCTCAGCCAGTCGCTTGTTGCACCACTGCGCATGCGCTATACAGTCAGGCACTGAGCTTGTGAGCGGATCATCGTAGCGAGCGAAGGATCACGTGACTCAAGGAGTAATGACCAAAATGGCAGCCGCTTGTGCCGTGAGTCCGCATTCCTCGAGAAACGCAGTGATAGTTCGGCAAACACGCAAGCACTGACGGCACTAGAGGACACACAAGGATCTGTGCCTCCTTCGAGAAATTGTCGCAGCCAATTCCTTCGAGAATCCGCGCATGTAGGGTGAAGTTCCACGAAACGATCTAGAGCTGACACTTCGGACCATAAAGGAGCGTCTCGAGATGCTTCTTTGGTACTTCCGTCAAAGGGACTTCGCGAATCTTCGGTGGTAAGCGGTTTTATGTAACGATAGTAACAATCTAATATTTAACAGCAGCCACTCTTCCACCTATTCAGATAAGCTTTTTAGTTTGATGTGCCACAAGGCAATGCAGTGAACGCGCTGCGTCTGGGCAGGGCGTTTGAAATGCGTTTGGGCTGCTTGATGGCTTTGAATATAGTTGAGCTTCGAAGGTAAAAAAAAAAAAATAGTGCTCACGCGTCAAACAATAAATAAATTAACACACTTTTAAAACATAATTTTCTATTTTGCTGCAATACAAGAAAAATTTTGTTTTCCGTTACAACAACTTTCATCCACCAGTGGTGTCACGATTGCATTGACCGAACGACGCTTGGCTAAAACCGAAAATGCGCGTTGTACACCGGTAACTTGAGCGTTTGAGCGGAACCGGGAACAGAGCACAAAATTGGTCAGCTAAAAGTGCCTATTGGCACCACCGATGATCACCTTCCGCGTTTGATGAGGCGCCTAAGTCACTCGCCTTAAAAATCACTGCCCAAGCACCCCATACGAATGGTTAACCACCTTCGAGGTAACATGTGCTGGCAGCCATTCTTCATTATGGTATCTGCACACTGACGGACCGCCACATTTTCGTGCCTCATATAGCCATACGCAGCTTCACTGTTGAACTCGCAGGATCAACTGTTCAGTTAGGCTGCATGTCGCCCTGTGTGGGAAGCACCCTTACCACACAGAGCAAGTAGGCAGTTATGAACGAATTCAGCCGACTGCTTTTACTCAAACAACTGCTTACTACACCATACCATCCGATGGCCAATGCTTTGATAGAACGTTTTAATGGGACATTAAAACGCATGATAGGGTGCATGTGTCAAGAGCGTCCGAAAACCTGGGACCGTTACATTGGTCCATTACTGTTCGCCTACCGAGAGCTTCCGCAACGCAGCATTGGATTCTCTCCATTTGAATTATTATATGGAAGATATGTGTGAGGGCCAATGGCTGTTCTCAAGGAGCTCTGGACAAACGCTCGCCTCAATGATGAGACCAATACACGCATATGATGGAGCTTCGGCAATGCTTACAACGCACCTGTGCGCTCGCACACGAAAAATTGATGAAGGTAAAAAGGCTGCAGAAAGGGTACTATGGTAAGAAAGCAAGACAGCGCAAACTTGTCCCTGGTGACAAGGTGCTGGTGTTGTTACCAGCCGATGCTAACAAGCTGGCGCTTTCCTGGAAGGGCCCCTTCCTGGTTATTGAGAAACGCAGCGAACTGGGTTACCTCGTGAACCTGGGCCACAAGGTTACGCTCTTTCATATCAACATGTTAAAGAAGTATGAGGAGCGCAAGCCACTAAGCCGATGAACGATTGCAGGCGTTACGATGACGCTGCCAAGTGACATAGACGAGATTCAGTCCGACGAAGTGCCCCATATCACACTAGAACAGACACAGGACTGGACAAATGTTACCATAGCATCGGAGTTCAACGCTGATGCACGACAGCAAGCCACAGCGGTTCTTACGTTTTCTCAGATGTACCTGGGAATACTGACATTGTTCAATGCGAGTTGAAGCGTACATCAGAGGCTCCCATACAGGTGCGACAGTACCCACTACCTTTTGCTGTCAAAGGTGTCGTCGTGGACGAAGTGAAGGATATGCTACAGTTCGGTGTCATTGAAAGGTCAACGTCAGCCTACCACTCGCCCATAGTGGTCGTCAAGAAGAAAGATGGCACCATGCATTTGTGTATTGACTTCTGACAACTGAACAAGGTCATACTTCCGGATTGTGAGCTGATCCTTCGCACACATACGATGTTCACCAAGCTCACGGGGTGCAACTACTTCTCAAACTTTGATTTTACTAAAAGATACTGGCAGGTATTTATGACCAGTCAGTCGAAAGAGCTCACGGCCTTCTCATGTGGATCTGAGTTGTACCACTTCAACTTTATGCCTTTCGGCATCAAGACTACGCCGGCAGTATTTAATCGGTTAATGCGAGTCGTCATCGAGGGGACTCCCAATGTGCTATATATCTTTGACGATGTGCTCGTCTCTACTGAAACTTGGTAAGAACACTTGGTAACCCTAAAGAGATTGTTTGAGCACGTCAGAGTGGCTCGTCTAACTATCAAACCGGCGAAATATGAGGTCGGCTGTCCGACTACTACTTTTTTGGGCCACATTATTGAGCAAGGTATGCTGCAGACGAGTTAGAGCATTACTGATAAGATCCAAGCAACTGTGCCGCCAAGCACCAAGAAAAAATTGAAAGCCTTTCTCGATCTTTCAGGTTATTACCATGACTTTTTGCCCAATTACGCTGAGTTGACATTTCCACTTGTAGTGTCGGCGAGTGGCATCCGAACGACGGCAAGGGGCTCGACGACTGGACGCGGAACTCGGCGTGCGCCGGCGATCGGCCCACCAACAAGAGTCAAATTCAACAGAAGCCCAACAACGACTCGGCTGACCAGCAGCCGTTTATTAAAACCACACCACAGAACACCTACCCGACCACATGGTAGTGTATAGGTGTTCTGCGACCGGACTCGCTCGCTAGATTCCATGCCGACCGGTTGTGCCCTCGCGATCTCCGACATCAGCGTAGCTCTGGCCGACTGGGCTCGCCCTACGTCCTCTCCTGATGCCGACTTCCGACGACAGTGTAGCTCTGATCGACTGGACTTGCTCTACGCCATCTTCTGACGCCGAAAAGAGCTCTCGCAAGTGGTGCCCCGTCCTCGGACTCCTGTGACCGTGTTTCCATCTTTCCCTTCTCCTCGACATGTCGTCGCTCTCTGGCTTACCTCATGCCTCTTTCTCTCTCTCTACCTACTCTTTTAATTCCTATTCTTTTCATCCCTCCTCACCCCCACCCCTTGTGAGCTGCTGTTGAGGTGTCGCTCACTGAAGCAGACAGTTACGGGGCTCACTTTTCTCTTCCTTTCTCTTTTAGAACCACTTTGTGTTCTGTGACCACACCATGAAGCGACGCGCACACACGTAATTGGTTGCTGACAACCACGGATGGATGGATGGATGGATGTGGCTGTACCCTTTAAATCGGGCGGCGGCCAATGCCACCCAGCCGTAATATTTAGTGAACTAACCACTAGATTTATCTTTTTTTTCCCTTTAAATAGTAAAGTTGAGGACTGGTACTTTACGGTGAAGGGTTTAATTTTTCACTCGTGGCTTGACTTTAGCCACCAATCAGACAACCTTCTTCTAGTTGATTCTACCCGCTTAAAGTCTATTTTGCCCTCCCTGTCCCTAAACCCCAGTGCTTTGAAAAACTCTGTGCCATTATCCTGAACTATAGGGTGAAGCCCTTCACAGAACATTATCAAGTGTTCGGCAGTTTCCTCCTCCTATCCACATGCACTGCATACCGTGTCTACCCCTTCGTATTTGGTCCGATATGTCTTGGTCCGCAATACTCCCATCCTGGCCTCAAACAGTAGAGAACTACCCTGGGTATTGTCATAGATCCTTTCCTTGGCAATTTCCTGCTTAAAAGTTTGATAGATCTTTGGTGCAGACTTCTTAATCATGCAAATTCTCCACATGTCAGTCTCCGTTTCCTTCACTTTCTTCTTAACCGATAGTTCTTTTTGGTTTGGCCACCTGCTGTTTTCTAAATATTTACCAGTATTTTTTGGTTCGCTTGCTCCATTTAGTATCAGCATTCTTCATGTACAAGTAGCTGAAAACCTTCCTAGCCCAACGCTCCTCCCCCATTTCTCTCAATTGCTTCTCAAATTTTATCTTGCTGCTAGCTTCCCTGCAGTCAAATGATGTCCATCCCATATCACCTTGTACTCCCCGATTTGGTGTATTCCCGTGAGCTCCTAAGGCAAGCCTACC